TACACTGAACGACACAACCAAGTAGCTGGCATTGTGTACAGGAACATCTGCACAGTGTATAGGCTAGACCCCTCCCCAAGTCCAGATGGGAGATTCCACAGAAGGTCGTGGAGAATAACAGGGCTAAGATCTTGTGGGACTTCCAGATCCAAACAGACAGGCAGGTACTGGCCAATCAACCAGACGTCATGGTAGTAGACAAAGACCAGAAGACAGCGGTAGTGATAGATGTAGTAGTGCCAAGTGACAGCAACATCAGGAAGAAGGAGCATGAGAAGCTGGAGAAGTACCAGGGCCTGAAGGAGGAAATAGAGAGGATGTGGAAAGTAAAGGCCAAAGTGGTCCCAGTGGTGGTAGGAGTACTCGGGGCCGTGACTCCTAAGCTGGGAGAACCCTCAAACTCCCAGGCCTCTGGTAGAGGACCCAAGATTGAGGAAGACACAGACCACCCATGGGGTGAGAGGGGATTTTTATATATGTGTATGTATGTATGTATGTGTGTGTGTGTGTATGGGTGTGTGTATGGGTGTTTGTGAATACGGAAAAACATTAGGAAGTATATAAAAAAAATCCCCTCTCACCCCTATGGATGTTATAGTCTCTGTGTAATATATACATATGTATATATGTATGTACTGTATGTATGTGTGTGTGCATTGGCAATTGCTTCTCAGACAGGCGAATGGTCCAATGCCCTGCGACCTGGACTAAATATTGGCACATGGTTGCCACAGTGTCTCAGTCTGGACAGGACTTTTTAAAAGCCTCCTTAGAGTCAAGCCAGCATGAGTTCAGGACTGGAGCAACTGAAACTTAAGTGTGGATCTGCCTTAAGGCACAGCTGATCTCCGCTCTGCTCTGTACTGGGGGTACCAGCATCAAGATTCGGTGGCTTTTATATAGTTTGCTTATCATATATTTCCTGTGCTGTTTATTAATATATTTATTGTTTTAGCATTATCACTTACGTTTTTTCATATTTATAATTTGCTGAGAATGTCATTAATATGTAACAAAATGTAGTTGCAGGATACTCTTTTACCACTAGAGGTCCCCATACCCTTCTGCCAAGGGTCAGGCAGAGTCCAAGAGTTCTTTCTCCAAGTTATTACAAGTTTACTTGATCATGTAGAAGCTGGTTTCAGTGCAGAGATATTGGCAGGATCCGATGCTTTTGTCCAAATGCTGAAAGCAATATAATGCTGCCACAATGGTAAGCTCTGTGCCTTTCGTACAAGCGTGCAGTGTCATGACGCTTGTACAACTAGTTTACTACCAGTTGCTGTTATCTTCTCGCTTTCAGAAGTAGATCTGCCTTCAGGGAGAAGAGACGCACCTACGATTTCTGACCCTGATAATGTATCTTGGCTCCAACTTCATTTATTTATTTACTAGCTGTAGAGCTGTCGTTAGTAAGTGACTCTGAGCAGCTTCCACACCTCTTGCAGTAATCAGGTTAAAAAAGATAAACAATCAGAAAAAAAAATAACATCCACAATAATAATTATTCCAAAACAAAACCAGAAGAACTTAGTGCTGGGAAATCTCATAGTCAATAAACATTCCCCTAAGGGCAGAACCATCCCGTCTTTCGGATCCAGGAAGCTTGTTGAAACAGCCAGGTCTTAGTGGCTGTACAGAACACCAAAAAGTATAGAGGACAATCTGATCTCCAATAAGAGACTATTCCAGAGAAGCAGAGGGGTTTTTTTGTGGGGGGGGAGAGCAATGCAGAAAGTCTGTCCCCAAAATAGTGACATCCCCTAAGGGTAGGGTGCTAAGGGAACCCACCCAGCTTACAGCTTACAGAACACTTGTTTGAAAGCTGAATTGGGTTGGTTTGTTGGTTATCCGTCATTTAAATTGGGAAGCAGGGAGAAGAGAAACCTCTAACCATAGCTGATTTCCTGGAATTCTCTTTTTTCCCCTCTGTTCTGACCCTTTCACTATCTCCTTACAGTGACAGCAGTTATTAATTTCATTATGCCATCTGCGTGCATGGCCCTTTATTTACTCATGTAAAGTGGCACGCACACTGATGGCATAACATGGACAAATATATTTTACGTATTTGGCTTTCTTCTAGATGCAGATGGATCTAGGCATCCCACGCCTTCCTGAGTTATATGTTTTCTTTTCCCGCAGCTGCCTATTTTAGTATCATAATTCTTGTCTTGCTAGATTATAATGGGTGTAACAACAATAACTAGATTGTTGCACACATCCCTGGAGAGGTTTAAATTTGGATTTTGTGATTGTCTTACCTAATGATGGGAACCTTCATACTCATCTTCTCAAACAGCTCAAACTTGCAAATGAAGTGACACCCAAGGATACGCAAACGAACCTCCAAAAGGTGGGAAGAATGATACAGCTGAGATCACTGAGGATAATTGTAGGCTTGAATAATCAGGGAAGTTCCAGCAGTCTCTCCAGGATGTCTTAATTGCTCTTTGCCCAAGTGAGTTTCTCTTGGCTGAATGCTCATTTTAAGTCAGCAGCAGAAACTGAGTTTTGCTCTGGGTTGAAGAAGCTTTTGGGGGGACACACAGGCACACAATTAGGAATAAGGGAAGCTGCCTTAGAGCACAGAGCCCATACCTTGACTCAGGTATCTTCAGCAGCAGCTTATGTACTTATGTATGAATTTGCAAACTGCTTTAGTCAAGGCGACTCTGATAGCAACACTGACAACAATAAGAATAAAAGAAGCATAATATCTAATTACTGTTTAAATAATTATAATTAACATAACATTTCTGGCACCGGGAGCTCTTCAGAGATCAAGTCCCAAAGAACTCCTGGAACAATGGGTTTTTAAGAGCTTTTGGAAGGCCGTGAAGGTTGGAGGCCCCCTTGCCTAGTGGTCAAAATGTTTCCGGGGGGCGGGGTTGGTCACCACAGAGAATGCCTGCCTTTGGGGCCCTTCCCATCCCACTTCTCAATATGTGAGAACCTTCAGTAGGCTTTTTCTGTATCAGCTTTGCGAGGTAGTCCAGACAGGAAGCACGTCCAGATGAACTAATTCTACTTTATTGTAAGCTTACATTAACAGAAGCTTGCAAGTCTGAAAGTACATTTCTCCCTGTCACCTTTACAGCCCAAGAAACTAGGGAGGGTCCCTTCTAAGATGTTTGCCATGCCCACATTCCTGCTGTGGGCTAAGCTGCCTCTTATCTGACCGCTGTCCTGGCTGTGGCTCTTCGTCCTATCTCCCAAGGTCATTCCCACAAACCATTACACTC